TGAAATAAATCAGACACAGTAAGACAAATATTGATTGTTCTCTCTCTTATGTGAATATTTTTAAAAGATTGAATGATAGATTTGAATGCATAATATAGTGATTATTAGAGATTGTAAAGGATGGAGAGAAGGAAGAATAGAGAAATGGTGATAAATAGGTAGCAAATCACAATTAGATAGAATAAGTTCGAGTGTTCTAGACTACAGTAGAAGGCCTATAGCTCACAATAGCCAGAATAGAAAAGCTCAAAGGTTCTTAAGGCAAAACAACATATGGAGATGGAATCTTAATTATCCTTACTTGATCAGTACACATTGTTTAGATGTATTGAAATTTCACATTGCACCCTGTAAATAAGTACAGTTGTTACATATTAATTAACAATGTTTAAAAATATTTGAGACAAAAACGTTAACTACCCTGATTTGATTACATACTGTACACATATATCAAATAATCACTGTATCCCATATTTGTATAATTAAAATAACATTAAAAACAGAAAACCCTAAAGATACTACCACTACCTCTCCTGGCAAAGGTGTAAGATACAAGCTCAACATTAAAAAAAAAAGGTTTTTATACACTATCATCAAATCATTCAAAGAAGAAATTAAGAAAACAATTCAATTAATAACAGCATCAAAAATTAAAATACTTAAAAATGAACTTAACCAAAGAAGATTAAGACCTATACATTGAAAACTATAAAACATTACTGAAGGGTACAAATAACATGGTACAATCCAATGTTCATGGACTAAAGACTTAACATTGTTAAAATGTTCATACTACCAAAAGCTATCTACATATTCAATGCAATCATTATTAAAATGATAATGGAATTTTTTTACACAGATTAGAAAAGCCCTAAAATCCATGTGGAATCACAAAGGAACATGAATAGCCAAAATATATTGAAAAGTCTTTTTGGTTTCATATTATCAAATAAGGTTATAGTAATCAAAATAGTATGGAATTGAAATGATGACAGCTATAAAGACCAGTGAAACAGATGAGTGGGCCCAGAAACACACACATGTATATAATGATCTTTGACATGGGTGCCAAGACTATACAATGAAGAAGGAAGGAATCATCTCCTCAGCAACTGCTCCTGGAGAAACTAGATATCCACACATAAAATAATAAACCTGGACCATTTTCTTACACCAACCCACAAAAATCAACTCAGAATGAATTTATCATAAGACCTAAAATTATAAAACTCTTGGAAGAAAACAAAGGGTTGTTATGGTTTATATATGAGGTATCCCCTAAAAGCTCATGGTGAGACAACACTAGAACATTCAGAGGTGAAATGAATGGGTTATGAGAGCCTTAACCTAATCAGTGCATTAATCCATTGATGAGGTTAACTGGTGGTAACTGTAGTCAGGTAGGGTATAGTTAGAGGAGGTGGGTCACTGGGGGGGCTTGCCTTTGGGGCATATATTTTGTTCTTGGTGAGGGAGCTCTCTCTCTCTGCTTCCTGATGTGATGTCTTGAGCTACCTTCCTCTGCCACATCCTTCCATCATGATATACTGCCTCACCTCAAACCCAAGGAACGGAGTCAGCCTTCTATGGACTGAGATCTCTGAAACCCTGAGCCTCAAATAAACTTTCCCTCCTCTAAAATTGTTCTTCTCAGGTCCTTTGGTCAGAATAACAAAAAGCTGACTGAAACACTGGTCTTGAAAATGACTTCTTGCATTAACACCAAAAGCATAGGCACCAAAGAAACGATAGACAAAATGGGATGACATCAATTGAAAAGGTCTGTGCAGCAAAGGAAACAATGAAAAGGGTGGAAAGAAAACATGCAAAATGGAAAAAATTACTTGCCAACTATATATCTCATGATTGGTTAATATCCAAAATAAATAAGGAAGTTCTACAACTTGATATTTTCTAAAAACCCTATTAAAAATAGGTGAAAGATTTGAATGGATGGTTTTGCAGACATGACCTACACGATGCTCAATATCCCTAGCCCTCAGGAAAATGAAATCAAAACTACTGTGAGGTATCACCTCACATATGTTAGGACGGCCATTTCCAGAATAATTAGCAGAAAATAACAAGTGTTGACAAGGATATTGAGGCGTTGAACCTCTTGCACACTGTTAGCTGTATGGAAGAGAGTATGATGACTGCTAAAAATATAAAATGGAACTACCAACATGATACAACCATCCTATATTTGGAATTTATCTAAAAGAAATTAACAGAATTATCAAAAGATATCTGTGTACCCAGTTTCACTGCTGCATGATTCACCATAGCCAAGAGGTGAAAACAACCTAAATGACCAAGGATGGAGGAACAGATAAAAAATAAACAAAACAAATCATGGTGTACAAATAGAGTGAAATAGTATTCAGTCATAAAAAGAAAGCATTGTATGAGACCATGTGGATGAACCTGAAAGATATTATGCTAAGTAAAATAAGCTAGTCACAGGACAAAGGCTGCATGATGCTACCTATGAGAATATGTCTAAAATAGAAAAACTTACAGAAGCAAAATGAAAAGTGGTGGTTGTCCATGGTTTGAGGAAATGGAAAAATTGTTCAAGCGATATCAAGTTTCAGCCAGGAAAGATGAAAAATTCCTAAATCTGTTCTTATGACACCGTACAAGGTTCATAGTACTATATACTTAAAACTTATTAGTAAGGTATATCTCATGTTATGTGTTTTTCTGAGAAAGGGAAGGAAGAGGAGACAGGAGAAGTAACATAGTGGCAGTACTAGTAGTAGTAATAAGACAACTTTTAGACATAAACAATTGCCCATTTTAAAAATGGTGGCCCTGACACAAAATACTGGAGGCAATTCCTCCAGGGAAACAGTGGGTCCTTGAAGATGAAATGAATTGTGAGGAAAAAAAAAAAAACATTCTGAAGCAACCATAGCAAAATATAAAAGTGAAAAGTACTAGGAAATAGTAACTTTCAATACTGAGTACAGCTGGACTCTTTGCCATGGAAATATGAATTGGTCAAAGGGTTCAAATACAAATTGCATGACTTGAGATTCTCAAAGACAAGAATGCCTTAATTTAGAGCATTAACCATAATCTAATTGGTACAAAAAGTCAAGTGCCAGAAACCCCATATATTCCATAAGCATAACTTCAAAAACTGCATTTTGTAAGATGACTATTGTACAGCACATACACAAAACTGAATAGACACAGACATTACTTATATTCTTTCTGTGAGTGTGGATGAGGTAATATTGGGCAAGATTTCAAATTCTTTTTTTTTTTTTTTTTTGTAGATTGCACATTTGAGCTAAAAGACCTTTTTACCCCATTTTAAGCAGAGCAATAGCAACCCTTTAATGTGTAATTAGAGTTTGTTGAAAAGAATGTATTTACCAAAATACATATCTACAGAAAAAGTCTCTGAATACTGAACAGATGTGTTTTATCAGTTAAATTTATATTTTAGGATTAAAAACAGAGAAGTTTATCCCTGAAAAGTCTACTTTAATAATGAAATATGCCTGGCTTCAAAATAAGAGTATTCTAACTAATCATCCAAGCAATTAAAGATATCAACCCAAAGATGATAAGAATCAACCCAGGGGCTGGGATTGTGGCTCAGTTGTGGAGTGTTCACCTAGCATGTGTGAGGCACTGGGTTCCATCCTCAGCACCCCATAAAAATATAAATAAACAAAATAAAAGTATTATGTCTATCTACAACTGAAAAAAATAATTATTTAAAAAAATAAAAAAGAATCAGCCCAGTATTACTGCAGCTCATTAACGCAGTGATGATCGCATACACTTGGTGCAGCCCCTTTATTCGAAGTGTCATTAGGGAAGATGCTTGATTTTCTATACTTTCCTAATTATTGTAAAGAAAAATGTTTAAATGTTTTTCTCCACTATTTCCACTAAAAAAAATATGAAGAAAATAAACAGCTATGGCATAATTTGTTTCCTAACCACAAACATAGCAATTTTTTCCATCAAATGTGAACCAATACTTTTGGAGTATATGTAACTAAAATGGAAAATAAGAAAAATTTTTCTTTTTACATTAATGTTACTTCTGAAGTACATGAATATTCAATGCCTATAGAAACTCAAAAGATATTATTCTCGCCAAATAATCCAAACATAGACATATCTGTGCCCTGACAGGATTAATGTTTACCAAAGACTGAAGCTTTCTCATACCATGTAGTTATTATAACATGAAGTTAGATTTTGTGGAATGATGCAGAATCACTGTTAAGTACTTTATTTCCAAATGTCCCATGAAAAAAGAATTTAAGCCTTTCTTAAGTGCAATGTTTAACATTTCCCCTGATATTTTCAAATGTCAGTAATTTGACCCTTTTTACCTGAAGAAATGAGAAATTCCCATTCAGAATTATGTACAAAAAATTCACTGTTATTATTTATGTTGACAATATTTACAAATAAGCTAAGTTTATAAAACTGGAAAATTACTAAATAAGCTTCAGTAGAAGATTTTCTGTTATCATGTTAAAAGATTAAGAAAATTATTTAGACAACAAAGTGATAACATAAAACTAGAGTATGAAATTATGTATACAATAGCGTCCTGTTTTAGGTAGACAAATAAACTCTAAGACACATTGAGGAACAAAAAGAAATAGACTGGAATGAAAAATACAGGAAAACTCTTTATCAGTAATTTTATATAAGCGGTTGATTTAATTTTTAATTTTTAATTTTGTTTATTTTATCCCATCCTCATCTTAGATGTACTATCACTGAAAGGGAAAATAAATTTAACAAAACATCAGGTTTCTATATTTAGATTTTATCAAAATGTAACTGTTTATAAAAGCAATATTTATCCAGAATATAAAACAGAAATCTGTGCTCACCTCATCTCTAACATAAATAACGTGTCATTACCTAAAGCTACACCAGTGTTAATGAGCAAAATTATATATCAAGATGTAAGAAATTGCAATTATGAAATGTTGCCAAATTACAGGAGGGCTTACCTTCACAAAGCTTTTGCTTCATTATTTCCCTTATTTTGGATATGGCGATATAGTCCTCCACATAGAAGACGTATTTTGAGGAAGGCTTGTTGGCAATGGCTCTGAGTTCCGCATCTTCTGTTTCTGATCCAACGCCGATGGCGAACAGTGTTATTTTATTGTCTCTTGCTGCTTCTGCCGCATCCTTGACTTCATCTTGGGATTTGCCATCCGTAAGCACCACTGCTATCTTGGTCAGAAATCGTGAGGATTTGGCAAAAAGGTAATCCAGTGCAAACTGGATGGCCTTTCCGGTCCTCGTGTTTCCTCCTAAGTAATGGATGGACTCCATGGCTGCTATCAAATTCTCTCCTGAAGCATAACTTCCCAGGGGAATCTCCAGCACAGGGTAGTCGCTATACTGAACCACCCCAACCTGAATAAACTTGGGTCCTATGTCAAAGTTTTTTGTGATATTAACAAGCCATTTTTTCACTATTTCAAAGTTTTCTGGGCCCACACTGTAAGAGCCATCTAAGATGAAAACTAAGTCTGTTGGAGCCGTCCGGCAACCTAAGGAAAAAGGGAAACCATCAGAATGCATTTGTTATATAAAAAACAAAAAGTGTCCTTAGATACATGAAGTTTTGGCTAACATCTTTGCTTGTCTTAAGTAATGAATTAAACATGTTAAGGTTAACGCTAAACTCGAACATTTGTAAAATATAAACCAAGGAATAGGAGAAAAATAAAAACAAATTTTCTGCCAACTTTGACTCAACTAGCTAATATAATTTCATACTATTCTTGTTGGTAAAAGTTAAATGGAACAAAATCACCAAAGCAGTCAACACTTTCACTACATCTAAAATTGGTGTCCAAATGTTAGATCTCTCATCTTCAGCCAATAATGTGGCAAAACATCAACTTAAATGAATCTATATTCAAGGGTATGAAACCATTTCTTTCTCTGTAAACATTTTTATTTTGAGATAACCAGGAAAAATATATAATCTTAAAGTTCTATTAGGAAAAAAAGGTTTTTTGGTGCAAGTTACAGCTAGACAAATTATAAGCAGTTGTGGAAAGAAAAAATCTTAACTCTATAGTGTACAACAGTAAGCCTCTAACCCTATTTTGTTCTTTCAGTACCTGATGATTGCAGGTACCTGACATTATGTTAAAGGCACATAAAATCTATCAAAAAGCTCATAGTGTAGTAAGACAGAAAGTGGCTGGTTTAAGAAAGTAAAAAGAATTAAGAGATCACTGAAGAGGGGACCGCAAACTAATTGTAGAGATCAGGAAAGGTTTTATGGGAAAGCTGATAGGCAATATGAGATATGAGTGTTTTAACTAGGTGAAGAAGAGGATATTCTAATCAAAAGGAACAGCAAGTACAAAGGCCCAGAGATGACACAGAAACAAACTAGAAGACAAACTGGTTAGTTTAAGTAAACCTAAAAGTTGGGAATGGCCAGACTGCATGGATAGGAACAGCCAATTTGCTTTATCCTTTTATAATTTCTGCACTCAATGAAGCAAAAATAGCTATCATTTTATGTCCCATGATATATGGTTTTAAATTCATTTTTGTTTATATTTGCCACATTTGCATTTAGCATGGGGGAAATTACATCTCCCTGGAGATAATGAGTTGAAAAGGACGAAATGAGAAGTCAGAGTACTATGATAGTAAATTTAAGTCTTTTGATTTTACTCATATTAATACTTTCCATTAAGTAGAGATCAGATTCCCAATTTAAAGTTAAAATAAAGATGATTTATTTTCTGCAAATACTTGCAAATAAGCTACCATAATTGTAAAGTAGGTACTAAAGAAAAATTAATTTGTGAAAATAAGTATTCTTAGTATTTCCCTGTCTCCTTAGTAATAAGTTAAACTCTATATTTCCTATTCTGTTGACTTATCTTCCCACCCTTCCCTTCCTTTATCTATATCTACTTGCATACTTGGGATGTTGACAAGGCTCACAGGAAGAAGCTCCAACTTTACAATTATCTTAACTCACTCATAGAAGTCAAAAATAGACTACTGTGAGGTGAATTATATGTAACAGCCAAGAAGTTACAAAAAGTTGTCATTATGTGGATTTGTCACAAAAATTCAACAGTGATTATGACATTATTTGTAACCTGCTATTCTGCAGGTGGTGGTGCCCTCAGAAGGGTGTAACAGACCCAACTCCACCAACCTCTGCCAAAGTTCAGGGCAGGGACCACAGGAATGGAATTTTGCCTAGAGGCAAATTTGAAAGCCCAAGAGAATGCCATTCTTCTGTTAGTTTTGGAAGCCTGATTGGCATTAAAAGGTTATGCTTCTAGTACTTTGTTGGGGGTTGGTGGGGAAACAAGAGGATAGGAAAGATGTGTTTGCAGAGTTCTTCAATGTTGACCCTTCTTAAATACCGAGACTCACTGTCTGAACCTGCTAGTGTTTGTGTGCCACCTGACAAAGATCTTACAAGGTTGGTTGTTCTTGGCCCTCCTTACCCCTCTCCTGTTGGAGCCACAGAGTATGTATTTCATAGCTGTAAGGTTAGCCAAAACTATGAATACAAAAGCAAGTATTGGCATTTATAAACCCCAAAGTACAAGAGACCTCCCCTTTAGAGAGATGAGTAGTGTCATAGGAAAGGAATGGAATTGAAAATCAAAAGTATAGTTCAAATACCAGTTACTGCTCTAACCAGCTGAAAGACACTAAGCCACCTAAATTATAAAGGTCTCTCTTCACCCTCAAAATGTAGAGACAGGTTATATATCTTGTAGAGTACTTGGGGGAATTAAACATTAATTATTATTGTTTTAATAAATTTGAAGTCAAATTGAATCAAGCTATCAAAACATATGATGTAACTATTATAGAAACTAATTAATATATAGTTGGGTATTTATGAGTTTTTAAATGTGAACATAACTAAACTCTAAAAAAAGTATGTTATCTATACATAATGGCCTCTGTAGCAGAACTACAATTATTACAATTCTTTGTCTCTAATGCAAGCTTGCTCCTAGGCAATAAGAACATGGTCACCATTTACTGAGATGTCACTATACTGAGCCATTTACATGCATCATTATCCCATTCAGTCCTGGTGATCACCTAAGAAGCATGCGCTTTATCTCCATATTGGCAAAGCTCAGAGGTTGCTGAACATGGACTCCAAACCAGACTGGGTATTCCAAAGCCCAGTGCATTATGAGGATAAGGTATTAACACAGAGTAACTTCCAAACTACCTCTGAGAGAAGCTCTTCCTCTCAGCTACATAGCAATTCATTTATCTTAGGGAATTATAGCATCAAAGACAATAAGAATAAGATCCTTAAAACTACTCCTTGAACTCCCAATATTTGATTTACAGAATCAAAATCTGTTGATAACAAAAAGAGACAATGCTGAAATCTCTTACTTGATCTTATTTCCCCATCTTCAGCTAATACAAAATTCTGAAGAAGCAGAACAAGAACTATCCAAAGAAATGTAATGTGATGAGCCATGTTTATTTTCAATTTAATATTTTGGTTTTAGGATTCCTGAAAGGAAAAAATAAATAGATGTATTAGATAAGTGAAGATAAACATGCAATTATTGTACATTTAAATTTAAATTAACTTCATGACTTTAGAATTTAGATGGGTCTAAAATAGACAAAATTTAAATATTTTAATACAGGAAGACAATCAATAGGGGCTGAGGAAGACCACGATAAATCTTTTAATTCATAATCGTCTTGGAAAAATATAAGCTCTGTCTAAAACTTTGAGCTTTGTTTCAAATTTTTATTAGAAATTCTCCTTTGCATAAACCCTGTGAAACATTTTTATGTTCTTTTTAATACCTAAATGGTAGCAAATATTCCTTTAAATATGCATTGGCATTTTTAAAAAATAGTCCAAGGTACCTGGTAAAGATATCTATATGATAAAATAGAGATAAATTAATGTAGAAAATGAGATATTAATTGTAAACATTAAGAAATATTTTATCTGATTCATAAACACTCATTTATTTGACTTTAATATATCTTCTAAACATCAGTTCAAGGACTTTATTTCTGGCTAAAATGTGGAAAATTTCAGGATATCATCATTACAATCATGAGAACACACCAGATAAACCACAGACCCGCAATCTTTAACCCAGAAGCAAGAAGAGGATTTAAAGAAACCTAAATGAACTAACATACAGAAGTTACTGCTTTCATTCCTGACAGAGAATCCTCCAGAAGAGAAGGAGTTTGACAAAGCATGAGAAAAATCACTCAAAATTGGTATGTCAGATTGGAATTCAGATTCGAATCCTGAGAAGCCCCAGTGACAGAAAGAATAAATCCTCATGCAGCATGTATTCCCCATGAGCCTAAGCTAAACGCAGAGTAGATGGGAAGTACATGGACTGTTTAGAAGTTAGAATAGCCCACAGAGGCTCTCTCCAATCTTCCCACTGTGCAGATGACCAGAGATTTCCTCAAATACAAAGCAGAGGTCTGCTGAAATCTGTAGTAGGAGCAAAAAGACAGAGAGGAATCCCTCTAAGGCCCTCCAGTCCTGCACTATAGCGAGGAGAGCTCAAAAAGCAGAAAGCCAAGAGGATTAGAAAAACAACTCCAGAAATCTGAAGAGCTAAAAACTATACAGACAAGCTGAAAGAAATCCCCTTTGTCCCAAGATTATGAAATTTTGATTTCTTGGGGAAAAAACATTCTGTATTCTCAAATGCAGAGATTATCTAAATATCAGAAGTACCAAATAGGGTTTGTAAAATAGCTATGATAAATATGTTAAAGGATCCAGTGAGAAAACGAACAACATGCAGAGCTATGAGAAATTCAGAGGAGAGATGACAATTATTTTAAAAGGTCCAAACAGAAACACTTGCAATGAAAAATACATCAGAGAAGAATTCACGCAACAGACTTACCTGCATATACCACAGTGCAATGTCAGTAACTTGAAGACAAGTCAGTATAAATTATCCAAAAATGAAACCCTAAGAAGAAAAAAAAATAATAATGATAAAAGGAATAGAGCATCTGAAATTTGTGAGACAGTACCAAATGCTTTTTATTTAGCATACAGTAATTAAATTTTCTTCAGAGAGAAAAAGGGTAATAAAAAAAAGTTTGAAAAGATATGGCCAAAAATTTTCTAAGCTACTAATCTCAAATCCAAAAAGTTCAACAAACCCCAAGCAAGAAACAAAATGAATCACCTCTAGATACATCATAATCAATCAACTGAAAATCAAAACAAAAGAAAATTTCTAAAATTGGTTAGAGGGGAGGAAATTACATTATAATACACAGGGGACAGCAGCAAGAATTTTAGATTGATATTTCACAGTCTAGAATTGGCAATCAGAAACTATAAAAAAATCCTAAATATGTGGATATCTAATATTAAAACATCTGATTATTTGGAGCAAAATATGAAAACAACAAAGAAATAGACACACTGAAAAATAACATGAAGCTTTAACATTCAGGACTCAGCAAATATTACATTAGACAAAGAATACAGTAATGGCATAGAAGATTTGAACATTATCAATTATCTTCACCTCACTGCCATCTGTAGAACTTCCTCTCTGATGATAGCAAAGTACACATATTTTTGAAATGCCTATGGATTAGTCACCAAAAAAGACCATATGCTGGGGGGCTGGATTCCAAAAAAAAAATTAAAATCACACAGATTATGTTCTTGACCAAATGATGTTAAATTAGAAAATACTGGTGAGGCTATCTGGACCTAGAGTTTATTTTTAGAAAGGTTTTTTGATCAGGTTCATTTTATTCAATAGATAACTGAATCAAATTCAAGAGTTGAATTTTTTAATCAAAACCATTCCACGAAGAAAACCACAGGTCTAGATAGCCTTGCCAATAACTTCTTTCAAACATTTACTTAAATGGTCAAAATCAAAATCATTGAGTGAAATTAAATAAAAACAGAGGAAGGGTGAATTTTCCCCAACTTTTTTATCATAAGGCCAACTTAACCCTAAATTGAAAACTGGTCAAATAGAAGAAAACTGTAGTCTACTATTCTTCATGATTATAGATGTAAAAATCTCAGCAAAAATAAGCAAATCAAGTTTAGCAATATATACAATAATGTCCAAGTAAAATTTATCACAGAGATATGATTAAGACTTAAAACTGAACATATATAATTTACTAAAGGACTAAAAAAAAATCATAGGTGCATTCTGATTTGTGCGGCAAAACATTTAACAAAATTTAACACTTAATTCATGATAAAACTTTCAGCAAAATAATAAAAAGAAACTTAATATGATAAATGCCTTCTATGAAAAATCTAAAGAAACAGCATATTAAGAGGTGAAATATTGAGTAATTTGTCCCAAAAATCAGTGGTTAAAGATATATTCTCACACCACATCTATTTTAAAAATGTATAGGGAGTCCTGGTTGGGGCCATAGGCAAAAATTAGAAAATAAAAGATGTGAAGATTATAAAAGAAAAAATACAACTGATTTTATTTTCAAGCATATATTATCTACACAGAAAATTCTTTGGACAGGTTGTCCTGGTAGCACACACATATAATTCCAGCTACTTGGGAGGGTGAGGCAGTAGGATTGCAAGTTCAGGGCCAGCCAAGGCAACTTAGTGAGACCCTGTCTCAAAAATAAAATAAAGGGGCTAGAGATGTAGCTCAGTCATACAGTGCTTGTCTGTCATGTGTGAGGCCCTGGGCTCAAGCCCAGTCCTGGAAAAAAAGAAAGAAAAGAAAAATATTTTGATTCTACCAAAAGACTAGTAGAACTAATGAGTTAATTCAGCAAGGTCATAAGACATGATTAATATTTTTTTTTTCAGTAAAAAGATAAACCAACCACAAAATTGGAAGAAAAATTTAATACTGTTTTTAATAGTATTAAAAGTATCACAAACCTATAAATATGGCTAATTAAAAATGTAAGAGATCTAACCTGTTGAAATTTTAATGACTAAATAAATGTAATGATTCATATTCATGTATCCATACAATTTCCATTCCCCTCAAATTATACATTCAATAAAATCCCAAAAAAGAAGTTCAAAAATTTATTCTAAAATTTACAGAAAATGCAAATGGTTTTGAAATTACAGTCTTGATTTAGAAGAACTAAATTGGAGAATTTGCATAATCTGATTTTGACTTAGTATAAAACCACAACAATTAAGAAAGTGTGGTATTGGTATAAGAATAGATGTAGAATGGAGCACAACAGAGCTCAGTAATAGACCCACACTTACATGGTCAATCTATTTTGAACAAAGGTGCCAAGGTAATTGAATAGGAAAGTGTTTTCAATAACATTGTGTTGGGTCAACTGAATAAAATGAACCTTGACCCCAGCTTATTTCCTACAGAAAAAAATTAGATGGAGTGTAGTTCCAAATACAAAAGCTAAAGCTATAAGGCTTCTCAGAAGAAAACATCTTCCTGACCTTAGAATTAGGCAAGTACTTCTTAGGAAACAAATCATTAGCAAATATTTTTAAATGGGTGCATGAGATTTCACCAAAATTAAACATTTCTATTTTCCAAAGGCATTATTAAAAAAAAGTAAGCCAATATTCAGGTTAAACGTTTATGAAAAATGATACATATCCAGATTTTATATAAGATACATATAAATGCACACATATATACATATTTAAATTCTACAAAGTTTTTTCTTCTAAAAGAAAAACAACCTAATTTTTTTCAATTGGCAAAAGATCTTTAATAAACATAGTATAAAAAAAAGATACAGAAATGTCTAATACACATTAAATGACATCCATCATAATTAATCATTAGAGAAATATATATTGAAAACAGAATAAGATGTCATTTCACACCTACAAAACTGGCTAGAAAGAAAAGACTGACAATATCAAATACATTAAAAGATTTTTGGAGAAACTGGAACTCATATGTTGTTGGTGAGAGTGAAAACTGATATAATCACTTTACAAAATTGTTAGGTACGGTTTCTTACAAACTATGGCCAGAAGTTCTTTCATGCTAAGTGTATAACCTAGAAAAATGAAATTGCATGTATACACACAGAAAAAATATTTAATAATGTTTTACAGTAATTTATCCATAATATTCCCAAACTAAACATAACTCAAATGCTAGAAACAAGTTCTGTAACATATTCAGACAATGGGATACTACTTACTCAGCAATAAAAATTTAACCACCAAACAACGTGAATTAGTTTTAAATACCTTCTATTTCATTAATTAAGCCAGACACCAAGAATACATTCAGTTTGATTCCAGTTAATGAAGTCCCCAAATAGGCAAAACTAACCTATAATATTAGATATCAAGTAATGGTTGCCTTGGCTGGCAGAAGGTAACTGGAAAATAGTACAAGTGAACTTGCTGGTGATAGAAATATCTTCTTTATGGCATCAATATTCAGGTACATAAAATTGTGTAAGTCCATTAAACTAGATGCTTAACATTTGTATGATCAACATACACAAACT